GGTTCTCAACATTGTCGTTTCCTCTAATTGAGTCTACATTAACATATCCATCAGATCGTTATCCTAGCGGATCCTAATTAACATCAATTCGTGACGTCAAACAGCATATCACCTCCCTCGCAGACAACAATTTATTGCGAGCCTTGCCTATACATCAGAGTTAAATGTCACGTGTCAAGGGTTCGAACCCCATGTTGAGATATACCAAAGACACATGTGAGTGGTACTGACAGCTAATTCGCTAGGCGCAAAATAATAAGAGTATTTGTTAGTACTGTTCGCCTGGTGTCAAGATGATGTGACTAGGTGGGACATGATACTACATATCTGCGGCATGATGTCCTTGTGCTAGACATGACTACAAACTACCACACTGTAGACTTCTTAGCTATCATGTCTGACATTTTTAATGCTAAGTTAAAAATCTAAAACACACACACGCATACGTGTCACGCTCGCCGTAGCAAAATGTGCTGCGACAAAACATCAAAAATAGTATTCACCATTACATAAGACTATGGTCTATAAATTTCTAGATGAAGTTCAGGTCACAAGGACAACATAGCAATAGATGAAAGGACACTGACAGACTAACTGACGGACGCAGAGATGTTTTAATTTTGAGTTTCCCTGTATATCTGAAAAATTACAGTAATCATCATCTAAAATGTGTGTCTGGAATTTGTATTGTCTCAGATTCAAATTTTGAATCCAGTTATTTAAGGATTGATCCTCATTTTCTCTATGTGTTTGATTAAAAAAAATTAAACCCCGTGATCTGACTGCCATCAATTAAAGTTTACATTGATGAACGTAAACAATTTTTCTTATTATGTTTTCTATCAATATTCATCTGTAAGCATACACTTTCACTTGCGAGATATATATGTGTGTTTGTGTGTCTGGTTTCGTAAAAGTAATATTCTTTCCATTCTCCAGGCCTCCTTGTCGGTACTTCGAGTACCCTTATTTTCGCCTCCCGGCCCTTCGCCTTCGCATAACTGCTTAATTCCACTTGCTCTCTTCGTCTCCTTTTCTCTAATCTTCGAGTTGATTTCTATCCCAAGGGGAAAGCTTCCACAGAACTCTTTGTTCCAAATCTCGTCCGAAATTCCTAAAACTCCTTTTCTACCGTTTTAACTCGCAACTTCGGCACTCGGAGCGCAGTCTAGTGTCTCCAACTTCCCTATGAGCTGATCTCGCCGATGTACCGACATGCACTATCTTAGTGCTGATTGGATGTCTGTGGTCTTTTTGAAACTGTCGGAGGTAGTACCACTGGTGTGTTATAATCTTGTTATTTCCGGCCTCTCAGCCTAAGCCTACCAGGGACATCACTGATGATTCCAAACAAAAGAGACTTTGTCACCAGCGTGGCAAGATTATCTACAGAATCAAAGACTATAATAATACGACCCAGTTGTTATTCTACTATTTTTGACCGCCAGAAAAAGAAGATTCAGTACTGAAAAACATTTGGATTTTTGTCTGTCTCCCTGAATGTCCCAATATTTAGCACTATGGTCATAAAACAGTCGGAGAACGTAAATTGTGTGACTCTAATTTCACACAACTACAACATTTGATCTTCTTTAACTTTGCACAAGAAACAATGTAAGAATTACTAATATTACAAAGTTCATATCATAACTTGCATATGGACTTTTTTTATGTTATTCTCTATTGGTTTGCAATTTGCTGTTTGAATTTGTTATACCTATTGCTGAAATCAGCCAAGCGTGTCGCCCATGGAGTGCAATATTGCAGTACAAACTTAACTAGAAACAGCGGAAAGATCTTAACCATATCAGGCTTAAGATAACTTCTACAATTTAACGAAGAATTTTCTTTTTACTCTGTAATAATGGTTACCTTAAGCTCCTTCTCCATCACATCATTATATGTGTAGGATAATTTCAAAAAGAATCAAAAGGAAGAATTTGATATTTTTAATGCCAGAAAGAAGATGAATAGAAGAGGATTTGTTCAACAATACAAAGAAGAGGATAAAAGAAAAGAAGATAAGATGAACACTTTGAACAGTGAACACGAGAAAGGGCGTGTGAACAAAATGGCGAATCTGTTATAAGACATTATATTTAATTAACATTATAAATCTTGCCAAGTTTTTTTTTTTCTTCTTAATTTCGGCTCAACTGATGGGAACTTAACGATTCAAGACATATAAACTGTCTATGACTAAGCTGGAGCTAGTGCTAAAAAAATTTTCATCAAAAGCAATAGTGACTTCACTGTTGAAAAGGACTGCGATAGTTAAAGCTGATGATGTATCGTCTGTAACAGTTTTAAATTATAAAAAAAACAAACGTGAATGGTCCTCTTCATGACGATATTTCTCTCAGAAAGAGATACCACTCAATATAATGGAGCAAATTTTTCTTTCGATATCTGTGGAACACATTTAGTTGGACACGTGTACGATTAATTAGATTTATGGAGACCATCGTGCGTTTGAATCGCCATAATTCACTGATGGGTAGAGTATCTGTCAAGAGTTTATCGATTACTGATTAAAGCTACGTTTACTTAAACTGAACTGGATAGGTGTCATCTTCTGATCTGTTTGCAAAACTGTCATTTCTGAAAGTTACCAGGAATCAGTTGGGTAGTCAATGTTTGTCAGGCGAACTGCATTGTTTGAGCCTAGTTCAGGCGGGGAATATATTTTATTTGCATTGGACAAGCTATGAAGGGGGCATGGTTTCACATCAAAACTCTCAGTTTAAATGTGGTACTAGCATAATGGAGATCAGTCCACGCTTTTCTGCAAGAGAAAACAAACGTAAAGGACTTCAAGTAATTTTAGAAGTAAATTCAATCGTAAAATCATCCAGGGAAAACGATTGTCTCGAAACATATCTCGAAACAATTGTCTCGAGACACAATTCTGGAAAGGAAAATCCTGAAAATACAAAGTGAGATAGTTCACGAGACATATGAACCTACGGGACGCCTCAAATATTTACCAACCAAAACGGGCTACACAGAGTTGGAAGGTTCAAAAGTGGAATGATACCTAATAATTTGGAAAAGAAAGGGAAAAAGTGAGAAGACCAAGACTTACTGGCACAAGGAAGTCAAAAGGAACAGTCGCTGTGGAATTTGGACTGAGTCAAGGTTATGAATCAATTTAAGGCAGAGTTTTTTCGATCTTTCACTCGATTCTTCTTTTTTTCTTTCTGTCACTCTCAGATTAGAAAACATTCTTTACTGGCAAGGGTTAATCCTCTTCACAGTTTTCTACTTGCCCTGTCCTCTTGAAGGTCATGACGGATTTTGGTAGTTTTCTTCTGGTTCTGTTTCTGAATGCGCCACATGCTTCTGCTCGTTCTCTTTTTTTAGGGTGGGGTGGGGTATTCGCAAGACCAATGCCATTTTCCTTGCAATAATATAATGTATTTACCTTTATCTCTCTTTAATCCTGTCTTTTCTTTTCCTTTTTACTCACATATACTGCAAGTGTTTTAACTTTTACTGCGAGTGGATTATTCCGTAGTCTTAAAGTAACAATTCTTTCGAATGACTTTCTGTGAATAGCTCATGGGAAGGGCGATCTGTTTTGACTCTTCAATCTTCCATATTTCCTCAATTGCTAATTGAAATTTTATTAAAAGTGCATTTTGAAGATGACACCAGCAAGCCCGATCCATTATCATCTACCGGTACAAAAAGAGACAAGAATGAAAGTTTTTCGGTAACTTTCGAAGATTATTTTCACATTCTTAAGATTCATAGAGTGACTTACAAAATTCGAAAGATTGCTTACACTTACACGGTGAAATTTAAAGAGTTTAAGTCTGAAGTGTCACCAGAAAGAAGCGGGTTTCACTACAGATTTGAATGATTAAATGTTAGAAATATTCCAATGAGAAATAAAAGCTAACGACGACAATCATTTGAGACTGTCGATCAGTCTCGGTAGCTTTGAAGTCACTTATCTTGATCCCGCTTAGTACACCCGCAGATAATGGATGGGTGGATGGATGGAAGGACGAACTGACTGACGGACAGCAGTCAGATATATATATATATATATATATATATATATATATATATATATATATATATATATATATATAGAGAGAGAGAGAGAGAGAGAGAGAGAGAGAGAGAGACAGACAGACAGACAGACAGACAGACAGACAGACAGACAGACAGATAGACAGACAGATAGACAGACAGACAGACAGAGAGAAAGAGGGATGGACGGATAGATAGATAGATAGATAGATAGATAGATAGATAGATAGATAGATAGATAGATAGATAGATAGATAGATAGATAGATAGATAGATAGATAGATAGATAGATAGATAGATAGATAGATAGATAGATAGATAGATAGATAGATAGATAGATAGATAGATATTATTCTTTGAATCAGGATCAAATACATTTATATTGACTCATTCTCTATTACTGCTGGCATTTTACTTTACAACCATTATTTTATTATTTACCACAGGTATGCAAAAGCGAGATTGAAGAATGCGTGTCGACACTGGATTAGATAAAGCATGACGGAAACAGTCAAAGGTAATTGATTGAAATTAAATTTGAAAACAACAATTAGGGTGGTTTGAAAACAACGAGGAGCTATAATCAAGTGTAATAAACTACCTAAATTCTTTCCTAATTTCCGAGTTTTAATTCACATGCCCCTAAAATGAACCCCATTTCACTCGGAATCGCTTACCAGTTTTAGAAGCTAACGTAACCAGTGCGGCATACGAGAAATTAGACAGCTCAGTATAAATTGCGGTAGATAGTTCACATCTATAAATTGCCAAGGGGTACTAGACAAGAAATGATATCTGCATTAGGTCTGTTAAGTGAACTTTACTCGCAAGTGAGTACACTTTCAGGATGTCCTTTCCCAATAGGTACCTGAAGTGTACCGATCAGTTATAACTAGTTTTATGATCGATGAATTTAAAGGTTAAACTATTCGAAATGGCGATAAAACTGGATTTCTTAA